TAATGTCTAGTCAAATATAATTAACTTTCAATAACTTTTTTTAAATATATAGAAGGTCGCAAGCTAAAAATAAAAAAAGGGATTGCATGTGTGAATTTTAAATTTATTAGATGCTATACTTTTAAAGGATAACTTTATAAACCAATTGAACAAAGCTTCTTGATACAACTTCCAATAACTTTTTAACCCTTGTCAATCCAATTTTCAAAAGAAGTCAAATTCTCTTCACAATTTCCAAGTACTCCATTACTACAGGAAATCTAAACACATGTGAAGGGTAGAAAGAAACTGGTGTTGAAGGGACAAATATCCCAACAATAGTAAATCAATCTTCACTTTGTGGCGACCTTCTGGTTCAATGTTTGTATGGGGAAATTTCCTTGTTAATCATCATTGTTTAGAGACAGAATTTTCCTCCTTTTGATACATGGAGATCTAGACTTTTTTGGTTCCAATGCTATAATTGCGACACCGATATGGTATCAAATCTAAAAATCCATTTGCTGAAATGGCATAATCTACAGTGCTGTCAATCTATAGAATCGATCTAGCTTCACCGAAAGAAATATGTGAAAATTTTCCATCATATAAGCTCCAACTTCGTAGCAAGAATGATGTCCTCAAATTCCAAATTTGGTGAAGTTTCATAGTGAAGGTCAACCCCATACATAGTCTCCTTCACCACATCCCATTATGGGGCCTAACCCCTTCATTTCTTGTGGCAAATTTCTAACCTTTCCATAATCTTGTGGGACATCAAATGCTGCAAGATAAGCATTTTATCGACCGACAAATCTTTCAGAATGATCTTTGGATTAATCAAAGTTTCTGCTTGATTAGAAAGGCCTTGCATTTCAGGAACAGTTGAAAAATTATTCATTTCTTGAATTTGGACTTGGCTTGAATCCCACTAACACATTTTAGCACACCCCTTCCTTCAAAGGACACAGTTGTTGATATCTGTTATGTGGTGCTTCTTTTATCTGATACATATTACATGACCCTTTGTCTATTTGATTTGAAAAGGACGTAACTTTTGCTGCTCAAACAGGGAGGAACTCAAATTTCAAGTGGAAAAAAGAGGCACTATTCATTATGTTCATAGAAGAAAAAAACTAAGCAACCACCTACACATTAATCTTTTATCAAATTCAGACCTATTTAGTTTTCCTTTTTGGTAGTATATATGAATTAGAAAGAAGAAGAATCCAGCTTGAGCCCTCATCTGGTTGGATGTGGCAAAAGAAGTTTGTACCCAAAGTCCAATTATGAACTACTTAAGTTCTAGAGTTTCACTAGTAGGGCGGTGAGGGAACTATTTATCTTAGGCCGGGTCAACTTTCCATTAAGAAATTTGAGGTTTATAATGGTATCAATTTGAAGGTTCTTAAAAATGGTATTTACTATATCTCAACAATGGTACTTAATATATCATTTTTGTAATCAAAATCTATGCTGGACTGATTCTTTATTTATTTTTTTTAAATAATTGTATCTGACTCATATAAAAGGATATGAAAATAAAGATTTTATTCTCTAAATATATAAAAAAAAAAAAACTCAAAAAATATGTTGAACGTATTCGTATAAGACATACTGTATTTAACACTAACCCTTGAATTTGAGTAACATATAGATTAAATTATTAACAAGAGACACTAACTATTTTTTATGGGTACAGAGACACTTATGCTATTTTTACTACTTATAAGGGTTGCAACCCATTCGTTTGATCTCTCAACTTTAAATTTTAATTTAAGGTAACAAAATAATTAAAACTTTTGTTAGTTGTTACGTGTATGCTTTCTTTTTGCAGTCTAAAAAATAAAAATAATAAAGTACCAAAAAATAACTAATGAGTACAATGTTATGTTTTAAATTATTAATACTTGAAAGACATTAATATTTGCTTATCCTTTTTTTTCTTCCAAAAACATAACGCAAGGATAGTAAAACAACGACCAAAACAAAACCTAATTCAAATCACGAGAACAAGGTGTACGAAATTCATCTATTATTTAGGTTCCAACCCTACAAGTCAAAGCTATTGATGAGAAAAAATAATTTCACATTGTTCATCAATGAGAAATGAGAATTTTAAAAAAAAAAAAAAAAACCTATAACAGAATTAAATTATTAATGGGGTCACTTCACTTTGGGATAGTGCTTTCTTACGACTGTAAGAAGGCTAGTTTGTGACACCCATTTGCTTTTCTTTTTTCCTTATCACTACTCTTTATAAGCAGCAAAATGCAAACAAAGAAAAGACATAATTTGCTCTCATTGCTTTTTCATGTTCATGTTGACCCTCACAAATTTGCCAGTGTAAAACCACCTAATAAAATTTTTGACCTATTTTGTCCCAGCACAATAGAAATAATTAGCTATTGATCGCTTTTCTTTGTTTGACTTGGTTGCCATGAGATCCCAAAACGGTAGCGTTTGTCAAATTGAGCCTACCCATTGCTAACAATTAGTATGTTTGTACACACTTGGATCTTCACACACACACACACACACAGCATATTTAGACTTTGTGAAAAAATAGTGTAAGTCAAATCATATCATTTGGTGTTCTTTTCCCATATGAAATTTATATGATGTTCATTTTCTTGCGGTTTACATGAAATGAAATTTATACGATGCATATGCTTTTTCTAATGTTTGATATGTAATATTACCTAGGTTTCACAATAAAAACTAATCTTCTTTACCTTGAATCTGGAATATCAAATTTCTTCAAAGAAATAGATATGTACAAAAAGTTTTTTTCTTAATTATGAAATACCCTTAAACTAATATATGGTTCTCTTTTATTGACATACAAAGGTTGTCAAATTAAAAAGAAAAGAGAAAAATATATAAGTTTTAGTTTTTTGGTACATAAAATGTATATTCTTGAAACATATATAAGTATTAATACTTTAATTTATAAATTGTTGTTCTCAATCACAAAAGTAACTTAATACTTAAACTTTTATTATTGTTGTGAGTTTGATTTCAATTGCAATTTGATTGTAATTACCTATCACAATCACATTAATGTTAAGCTAGGTCTTAGTGATCTAATTAGATTCACAACCATCAAACTGAATTCATTTAAAATAGTATATATACTATGTGGACTCAATTAAAACATTAAACCATTGGCAATATTAAAATTTCAATAAATTGTATGAACAGTATATGCCCATCTCTTAAAGATGGGCATGGACTCAAAGTTAATTCCAATTTAGTAATTACGAAAACAGAGGCTCAATCAAGAAAATAAATGACATAAAGCCAATGAGACTTCGATTTAGTGGCAAGAAAGAAGTCTTAAAACCCTGAAGTCTTAGGTTTCAGTTTCACTATATGTGAGTTTAGTTAAACCTTAAATTTAATTTGTCTAATTATGTTTTAATTTGTTGGTTGGTTTGTATTCAATAATTTCTTATATATAATATAATACTTTATTATAATTGTAATTTGTACTTATAACTTCATAAAAATATATGTACATACGAACCGCTATGAAGCCGCTTAATTGACGTCAATTTCACATATAATATATATATATATATAGATTATGTATTATTTTATCTTTGATGGAGATTTTAAACTAAGGATTAAAATATTACATATTCAAAAGAAGATTTTTCAGGCAAATAAGTAAGTTAATGAAATTTTTTTAGTGGGATAAGGTAGATGAAAATGAAACTGTAATTAGTCTAAAGGATAGAAAATGGATGACATATTCATAATTAGCCTCTTGGAAGATAGACTAGGATTTTGAAGGTAGTTCATTGTGGCGGCTGATCATGTGGGGTGGTTCGGAAAGGACGCAGGGAACAACCAAGAGGGGCCTATCTATGTGAGAGATACAACCAAAAGAAGGACTTGAAGGCCAATGAAGTGATAATTAGGCATCAAATAATTAAAGTGATGGGAATTTTGGAGGGCGTGTGGTTGAATGTAGGTAGAGAGAGAACCATACAACTAATTGAACTAGTACTACAAGAGGTAAAGGCTTTATCTAGTCAAATATTCCTCTTTCATTTCATAATCTTAACACTTACTATTACATTTCATACCTTTCTCCTAGTAAGAAGGATATAGATCGATTTGCCCTTTTAGCATCGAATGCGATTACATTTCTCTATCAATATCCTTGAAGCGCTAGCACGCTGACCAATAATAAGCTTGGTTTTTGCTGTTAACATCAAAGTCACCAATAATAAGCTTGGTTTTTGCTGTTAACATCAAAGTCGCAGTAAAGTAAATGTATAAATATATATATGGTACAAAGGAAATAACAGTTTCAAAATAAAAAAGAATTACAGATATTATGATTTGAATCAAATATTTGTTAATGTCATCTTTTAAGAATAGTTTTACGACTATTTGAGCTAAACTATATATATATATATATATATATATATTTGACTTGTCCGGAAAAACAAGCTTCCTCGTATAGTTAAAATCATGATCTTCGCAATGCTTTCAAGTCAGTCCAATTATCTAACCATAGTTTTTTCGACTTCTTTTTCTCTTTTAACTTCTTCCTTTATCCCATATATATTTATTCTCCCGTTGCTTGGGAAAAATACTCAAGTGTTTCCTTATTAAGCAATGAACCTAGTTGTTGGGGAATGAGTTGAACGAAGTCATTGATCTCTTGATTCATTCACTCTGTCCAACTTCAGTTATATCCATGAGAAATTATACTATCAAACTATTTTATTATCAACATATAGATGAGATTTTGATGTACATATTAGAAGGGTGAATTTTCTACTTTATTCATTGGTAAAAGAAATGAAAAAGAAAAGACTAAAGTTTTATCAAATTAATAAGGGCAGTTAGGATTCAGAGTTTATCTTAAGAGTAGAGTCCAGTAAGTTTGGAATTTAAATGCAGCTCTTTTCCTTATACTCAAATTGCGATATCCTTTCTGCCAAAACAATACAGGCAGTTATAACCCATGAAATGAAATGAAAGACTTACTATGAGTCTATGACTCTTTTTTTCTTATACTTCTATATGCGAATAAAGTTCATTCGAGAACAATCAATTTGAAAGCAATTGTTATAACAGCACCAACATTAGCTTGGTTAGAGAACTCTCACAAAACTAGAAAAAGATAAAAAAAGCGTCGCCTTCTTCGGACTTCCCATTAATAGTAATCCATTGGATATACAAGCTATAACACTAACATATATATTAACCAGTAATATAAGGCAAATACATAAGATTTGCCATAGCCTCTTGCAGCCAGTCATCCTCGTCCTGCTTGATCTGCAAAGCAACAAAAAAAAAAAATGACCCGACATCATTGCCTGAAGTGTGAACTAATTCCATTCAAATGGTAAATAATTGAATCTTTTCTGACATGCATGAGATGATCATGTCAAAAACTATACATGTCAAAATTTATATCTAATTGCCAATAGTAGTGTAGCCATGTTGGTAGAGGATTCTCGATTTCAGTGACCGTTCAAATTCGGGTGGTTTCAAGTACCAAAAAAATCATAACTAATTAAATAATTATGCATTAATATATATGAAGAAAGATAGTGAGAAATTAAGTACCTGGACAGCATCACAGCAATACAAATTTTTGTCATTGAGTGAATTGTCATCTTCCTTTTTCATTACTATTTCTTCTTCGCAGAGTTCAGTGTTCCTTGCAAATCTTCCCCGGACTCTAACTCTTCTGTCAGCTAGGGTCTTCCGGCAAGCATACTGTTGATATATATATATATAAGCAATGAAATAGAGTCAGTGGCTGCACATTCGTTTTGTATATAATAACTGAAAACAGAAATGAAAACGAAAAGACCTTAATAGTCTTGTTAAAGTTCCTCTGATTTCTCTTCTTTAAGTATCTTAGAATTCTGTCTTTCCTTTCTTCTACTGAATACCGCCCAACTTTAAGATTGCTGTCTTCCATAGCCGGCTGCATTCGATTGCCATGAATTCCCTGTCAAAAAGAATGTAAAGATAACAAAATTATGTTTACCCAAAACCCATTCATGTAAGCTAATAATTTTTCATACCTCTAATTATTCCTTTAAAAATTTTCATAAAATTGTACAAAACCAGCATGCAATGCAGAAAAGCAAGAAAAAAAAGTTTATTTATACCCAATTTTCTCCCAAAGTTGGATGAGCCGACTTGAAATCCTGATGAACAAATCCACTGCATTCCTCTCCAAACTCACAGACATCTTGTAACTGGCATCTGCTACCAAAATTTTGAATGGTTCCAATGTCATAGAACCCTGCAACGTTATTGTCATGAGGCAATGCTGTTGGGACAGCCAAGTCTGATGAAATCCCAATTAGCTCTGGAAACAATGCTGCTGGAACTGGAGGTGTTAAATTAGATTCTTGTTGAAAAACATCAAGTCCTCCGTTGTCTAAAAACATTGGAAAACTATTTTCTTCACCCCATGTTGCACCAGGAATTGCACCACCAGCAATAGAGTTTTCTTGGGAAATTAGCAATGGATTTGGAAACTGAGAAAAATCATTGGAAAATGAGTAGAACTGGGGAATGGAAGCCATTGAAACAGAGAACAAAAAAGAATAGGAAAGCTGGTTGAAAGGGAATTAATTAAATGCGGGGTGAGATTTTTGGACTTTTGATTTTGAGTCACTTAATGCTTTTAAGGCTTCCTATATATATAGTCATTGTGAAAGCGTACTGATTTTTTCTTGCAAGTTGCACTCAGATATTATTAGCAACTCAAGCAGCTTGGAAAGATAATAGTAACTAACTAATTCTTATGTTTTTAATAACGAATAACAAATAATTTGTCATTTTATTATGATTTGATATTTTGTCTGAGTTTTGGACAAAATTAATGGAATCGTACATCAAATTTTGCCATCATACTTTTTTTTGTCTGAGTTTTGGACAAAATTAATGGAGTAGTACATATAAAGTCACTTTGCTTTAATAAATTGACAGGTAAAAACATTAAAAAGAAAATGATTTAATAAAATAAATAAAGAAATTAAACCAAATCAAGGTATTTCATATTTAAAAAATTGAATCCAAATGAAAAAAAAAAAAAGTTACAAATGAACCAAATCAAATTGGAATTTTTTTTATTCATTTGGTTTCTTAGTTTTTTTTTTTTTTTTTTTTTTCTAAGAGGGCTTTTAATTAAATTTGAAATGAATCTTTTGTCTTACTTAGCTTGTTTGGATTTTAAAGGGAAAAAGTTTTGAATATCATGTATACATGATACAGTTAAAAAGAATTTGAATTAAAAAAAGTTCATTAATTACTCAATTCTATTCAAATTTAGACTAATTTAAAATCTTAATCAACATTTTGAAATCAAATATAAAAATTCATCCATTTCTTTTTCTTATTACTGCAATATTTTCCAGTTCATTGATCACCTCCATTTTATTTATGGAATCCAATTAGTAGTAATAGCGTATAGAAATGGTAGCAATTGGTACCATACGGTGTATTTGCTAACAAGAAAAAGTAATGGGTATTGTTATGAACCTTATTATCTTCAATAAAATATTTATGCTGGCTTAGCAGAAAAATAAAAAATAAAATAAAAAAAATTTGAACTTAACAAGTTTGTGTAAAAAAATACATACATCTACAATTAAGTCAAGTGATCAAGGGTGATTATCTATATTTTTTTGTCTACTTAAATTATGTATCCAAATATTATTTAGGTCCAACAAAGCCAAATTTGAATGGAAGACGCAAAGATCTTCCGCACCTCAATTATGTCATTTGTGTTGTTCATGTCTATATGTGGACAAAATCAAATGAAATAGCAATTATTACCAAATAAACAAAAACTGGCTAGAAATCAATTATATCCGATTGTGATTGTTGATATCCCATTTTATTTGAAGTCATTTTAAAAATTTTGGATTAATTTAGATTGGACAATTCTTTATAGTACTCATTTATTCAAGTTAATTTTAATCCAGGATTAGTGTTAAATTCAGCTTTCATATTTGTTTGTGCCAAGCTCCGACGTAAAGGTATTTCTAAAAGGATAAAAAATTAAAGGAAAGCGGTTAGATGCAAAGGTAAGAAATGTTTCTTGCATTTATACTTCCACATGTAAATCAGAGATCAGAATGAAAGAGGTTGGAAAGAGAGAAAAGTAAATGATCAAGACAAGATAGAACTTGAGATAATAATGCCTAAATACCTAAATTTATAGATGAAAGGTAGGGGACCAATAGGGGATAACAATAATGTGGATGAACTGATATGGTATTGAGTGTGTTAGATTTGCACAAATGTCTGAAATGCCCCTAGCTATCTGCCAAGGGCCCCTAATAAAGAAAAAGACCATTATACCTTTTGGACCACTAAATGCCCTTAACATTATGTCCTCTCACCAAGCAGTCTGAATATCAGACTGTTAGGTGTGTAGTTAATTCATTTCATATAGGTTGGTTGGCTTAAAAAAAGCCACGTGAAATCCAATCTCTTATAGTCAAGGTCGGCACAAAGGTCAGCATCAAGGGACAATTTGCCTTTTACTACTACCCAAGGTGCTGCTAGTTGGGTCAACCTCGTGTGAGTCAGATCTTGGCATGTGTTTTGGATTGAATGCATGGCTAATTTGAAAGTTACCGAAGTGTCATTATTTGAGATAACCCAAGTTTAGGATGGGAGCTCGTTTGTAAAGGTATAAAGGGTTTCACCCCTATAAATAAGATGTTTTGGTTTTAGTTTAGTAACCCCAGAGAGTTAGACACCAAGAGAATAGCTAAGTGAGTAGGCTATTAAAGGGTGTAATTGGGTTTTGGGTTAAGTTTTGAGTAAGGAGTTTTAGGAGACTTTTCTCATTCTAAAAGTCTCACAATTGTAAAGATTTATTTGATAGTGGATTAGATTTGGAGTAGGCCATTTTGAGTTGGGCTGAACCAAATATATTTGTGTTTTCTTATTCTTGATTTGAGCTTGTTATTTTGTGTGTGGTTGCTGCGCGTGGGTATTGTTGTTTTTCCCAACAAGTGGTATCAGAGCTGTGGTGTTCCCCAACAAGTGGTATCAGAGCGAGGTTCGAGGTTCGAGGTTTAAGGTTCGTGGGTCCAAGAGATCGTGAAGCAGTGTTTGAAGATGTCTGAAGAAGGTATGTCTGGTATGTCTATGCCTAAGTTTGAGATTTCGTTATTTGATGGAAAGAGTAATTTTATGTTATGGCAAAGTACGATTCAAGATCTGTTAGTACAACAAGGGTTGGATCAGGCATTAGAGAGTAGTAAGCCTGAGGGAATGTCTGATGCTAATTGGAATAAGATTCAGAAGAAGGCTGTTAGTACTATTAGATTGGCGTTAGCTCCAGAAGTAAAGTACAGTGTGTTGACTGAGAGTACTCTGAAGAGTTTGTGGGATAAGCTTGAAGGTATTTATGCTTCGAAGTCGTTGACTAATAGATTATGTTTGAAGATGGATCTGTATTCTCTGAAGATGGAAGAAGGTATGAGTCTTCAAAATCACCTGAATGAGTTTAATAAATTGGTTTCTCAATTGTTAGCGATTTCTGTTGATGAGTTAAAAGATGAAGAGAAGGCTTTAATTTTGCTGTCATCTTTGCCCAAGTCTTATAGGCCTTTAGTTCAGACTGTGTTGGTAGGCAGGTCTACTTTAAAGTTGGATGATGTGACTGCCCTATTGCGTGAGAATGAAAGGTTTATGAGAGCTCAGAACTCATCACCTGGGGAAAGTACACTGGCTGTAGAGGGTTTTGATCGAGGGAGGACTCAAAAGAGGATTGATGGATCAAGATGGAGATCTAAGTCAAGAGACAGAGATTACAGTGATGTAGAATGTTATTATTGTGGTAAGAAGGGACATATCCAAGTGCGCTGCAGGAAGCTGAGAAGGGATATGGCTGCTTTCAAAAGGGCGAATGATGAGAAGAAATCAGATGAAGAAAAGAGTGATACTGCTGCTATTTTGTCTGATGATGATGATGTTGTTTTGACAACTTGTGTGGATGAGACCCAGACTTTGAAAAGTGACAAAGGTTGGGTTTTAGATTCAGCTGCTACAGTTCATGTTTGCAATGATAGGAGCTGCTTTGTGGAGTTGAATGAGAATGAAAAGTATGGGGATATTGTGGTTGCTAACAAAGAAAATGTGCAGATTCAAGGCATTGGGAGTGTTCGCCTTAAATCTCACAATGGTGTTATTAGGACACTTCGTCATGTAAGGTATGTACCAAATTGTCACTACAATTTGATTGCTTTGGGTGAGTTAGCTTCTCGAGGGTACACATATTATGGTAGTAATGATTGGTTGAAAGTGTACAAGAATGGTAGTGTGATTCTACAAGGGAATAGGGTCAATCACTTGTACATGTTTGATGGAGGCTCAGTTGCTGGAATGCCTGTGATGAAAGAAAAGAAGAAAGGTAAGCATGTTAGCTTTGCAGATACTGTTGAAGTGTTTGGAGATTCAAGTCAAGGGAGGATTTGTTGGGATTTGCCTTGAATCTCAGAATCCCACATCGAAAGTTAAGTAAGTTTGAATTTGTCTTGTATCCCACATCGGGAGTTTAGTAAAGGTATAAAGGGTTTCACCCCTATAAATAAGATGTTTTGGTTTTAGTTTAGTAACCCCAGAGAGTTAGACACCAAGAGAATAGCTAAGTGAGTAGGCTATTAAAGGGTGTAATTGGGTTTTCGGTGTGAAACTTAAACGTTTTTTTCAAAAGTTGAAATTTGAATCTTTCTTTTGAATTTTGTTAGTGAACCGACCATCATTTCACTAGGATGGTTCGACCTGAGAAGCCATTTGATCTGGTCGGTTTGACCAAGTCTAGCAATTTAAGTCGCATTAAATGAGGAGAAAAGTAGTTTAAGTGGTAAAATTTAGAGTGGGGAAGGCAAAAAGATGTCTTCCAATGGTGCTCTAACATGTGGCATAATCTGATATGTCTATCTGATTTAAGGCGCAATTATATAAAGGGTTGTTGGGACCTTCATTTTTTATTTTTCTATTTTTTTGCTCTCCATCCAATCTAAAGTTTCAACCTTAAAAGCTTTTCTTCTTTTTGAGCTTATTGTTCTCGTCCTTTTATTCATTCTCTCCATTTTTCTTGATACGTTTTTTTTCATTATGTTTTTTAGTTTAAGTTCTAGAGAGGTCAAGAGTTTCAAGGTAAAGCTTAGGGGCGGTCAACTCCGGTAAGATGATGACAACTTAATCCACTAATCTTTAAAGGTCAAGACTATCAGAATAGCACTTACTAGCTCAACCTCATGTCCAAGGAAAAGTAGCAATAGAACGATGAAAATGCCAGGCAAGAGGAGAGCGGTACTTGAACTCGAAAAAGCTATGTATTCAAATAGATTTTGATTTGGAGAATCCACCTTATTTCCCTATCTTTGAAGTCGATTCGTCCTTTATGGTCTACCTTTTTTCATTTTTGGCTATTTGCCCCTTTTAAGGTCTAATCTCATTAACTTTTTTCTTTTACTCTCTCACCTATAAATGCTCTCTTTGTCTCTTTTATTCCTCGTTGGTCAACTCTTGATGACATTACCTCCTCTCCCAAAAGGTCTCTTTCTCCCCCTTCTTTTCTCGAGGTCATAATGTTCTCAACCACTACTCTGTCTTAAAATCTTAC